AGCAGGACATAGCTGTCACTCTCAAACCAGCTACTTCCTTGGCATCTTCTCCTTCAGAAATAACTGTCAGTCAAAAGGCATTTTGTGATTGATGTCTGTGCCTGATTAGTCTTCAGGCGACACCATCACTTCTGCTGTAGTGACCATTCCTGTAGAAGGGAAAATCAACTGCTTTGTTGTCTGGTCCCTTCCTTTCTCTTTATTCCTGATTTCAATCAGTATTGCGGGTACTGTTTGTCTTTGGTGCAAATGCAAAGGTGAATAGACAAGCTTTAAGTCAATGGACTTGAAGAGCTGTCAGTGGTTCGGTGCCTATGCAGACAGCCTGTATAAATTCTGATTAAAAGGATGCTGTTGTAATGCTAGAGCATTTGGTATAGGAACTCATTACAATGACAATTTAAATAATGGCAAAAGAGGACATTGTTTTAGAGCAAAGGAAAAAAAGATGCTCCTCTGCTAACATCTGGAATAAATAGTCTGTGAGCTGATGAGGGTTGGACAGATAGCAGAGAGAAACTCATTGGCAATGCTGATCTGGTGTCATGCGGCAGAGTAAGGACACTTGATACTGAAAGAAGGAAGCTGTGAGAAAAGACAAAGGAAGTAAGGAATCCATGAGCTGAGGGGAGAACAGTCTGTGTTTCTGCTGTAAAAGGCAATTGTCATTTGGATTTTGGAATCCTAATAATACATTTTGTGCCTAAAAGTAATTGATTGTCATGCCAGTCTTTGCACCTCATTGGAGGGAAATATGAGGATTACTGTGTTGCTTGTTAAAAAGACAGACAAGACAAAGTGCAAAGAAGATTAAGTACCTTTCCCAAGGATCCACAGCAAATTATTGCAGAGCTGAGAGCAGAACTGGGCATTGAACAATATGCTGTGAACTCATCGAGCCATGTTTTCTCTCTACTGGGGAATCAGTGGCCAGGTGGGAAAGAGGGAACAAAGTGTTTGCTTTTTTTTTCCAGTTATGTTGAGTTGAGACTTTTGGAGAAAATGTGAGCATTGCTAATAGTCAGGCTAGTGGGAGAAGGTGTAGAATACCATTTTACAGCCATTATACTGCAGGATGCAACCTATCTATCTGGATTGGTTGTTTTGCACTGAGTTTGCACAGACAAGAATTTCAGCACAGGGCAACCTTGTCTGTAAAATATGCAGATGATGGTTATGCTGGGAGAAGCTGCACTTACAAATGCAAAAAGAAACATGCCCCACCTCCTACCGCACCATGCTAGAGGATCCATAGAGGTGTGAGCCAAGAGAAACAAATGAGATTCAGCTTTGAAAAATGCAAGCCCAGTCATCTAGGGACATATAAGCTCAAAATACAAATACTCTTAGAGACATATGAAGCAGCATAAATTTGAAATAGAGTGGGATGTGATACAAAGCAGCAGAGCAGTCAGGATTCTGCTGTGTGAGACAGCAGAAAACTCTCCCAAACTGAGGAAACTTTGGCTTTGTATGCAAAGCCATCAGTGATGCTGCTTAGCAAGATGGTAATTTATTTCTCTACAGCTCTGTTCCTGGGAGTATGGGAGTACTCTTGTTGTCTGTTTCCCGTATAAAACAGACACACACAAAAAAAAAAAGAGCAAAAGAGCCAACCTTTCTGCAGAATTGCTCAAAATTAGAAGAGTGGGTGCCACTGAAACGAGACGTGTTGCTAGAACCAAGAGGATAGTGTTTTCCTCTTTTTTTTTTTTTTTTTAATATTAAAGTTTGCATAGCTATCTGCATCACTGGAGTGACTAAATGCGACTGAGCAATCCCATGGAAGGCAATGAGGCCCTGCCTGTGCACAGAAGCATTGGAGAAGGCGGCTTGAAGGGGGAATATGCTGTGTGGTTGTAGTGGAGCCAGGCGAGGGACTTGAAGGCGGCCATGGAAAATGAGTTCAAGTGTCTTAAACAAATGAGAGGGACAAAGAGGTCAGAATCAAGCTGCTCTGACTCCAGGGTACCAGAGCACGTCAACCTCTGAGGAGGGCAGAAGCTTTTATCCCCCCGCTCCTTGTGTGTGAAAGCCCCTGTGTCCCGCAGATGCAAACCCAACTGCAGTCCCGAGGGCATTGCAGGGTATGGTGCGACCAGCCCGAGGAAAGGGGGGTGCTCGCAGCAAGTGTGGGGACTGGTTTGAAAAAAAGACAAGTAACAAACAAAAGAGGGAAAAAAATCCAAATCCAGAACATTGCCAAAGCAAATTGCCTTCCTCCCAAAGAAAGGAATTGGCAAGAAAGCCCCAGCAGGCCTCATCTGTGGTGCTGAGACAGAGCTCCTTGCTGGGGAAGGTGGCAGCTCTCCTTCCACTCCCTGGCAAGGACAAGCTTTACCCAGAGCCTGGCAGATGGGAATGGCTTCCTGGCTGCCTCAGGGCAGCCTCTCAGCCTTATTGCTTCTCTCTTTTGAGGCAAAGAGCGTGCTGCAGCGTCCTTTGCTGTCTGCCCCTAGGCAAATCCTGCAGCCAGCTTCCTGGCTGCAGGTCCTTGTAAGGTCTGGTCGAGGTGCCATAACTCTCTGGGATATTCCTGCTTGCAGTTTGGCTCCTGCCAATGATCCCTGGTACAAGGGCAAGGTTACCCTTCCACATTACTGGGATTTAGTATTCCTGCTCTGATGTGTAGCATAGCAGACTTGTATCAGTCCTTCCATTGTCGTTATTACGGCAGCTCACAAAGATTGTCTTTTTCCTCCATGGGTCCCTGCAGTGTCCTGAACCGCACTCCTCCCAGCCTCATCCAGGAGATCATTTTGGTAGATGACTTCAGCTCAGATCGTAAGTATGGACCTGTTTCCCTTGCACTTGTTTCTTGCCTTCTGTTTTCCGTCTTTTTATTTTCCCTGTTCAGTCCCTCTCCCTCACAGAGATTCTCTCTTGTCTGTATGCAAGAGAAAAAGGGAGGAAGTTTTTCTGTGTTTATTTTACGTCCATGCATGGCAGAGGCCAGAGCTTCTTCCTGTTTTTTTCTTTCCATTGGGTCTTCCCATCCTGTCAGCTTGGCAGTTTTGGCCAGGTTGCCAGAGATCTCTGTCTAGTTTCATTATGCGCCATTTTGTGAGCTGTTTAGCGCAGATGTGTATGTAGCTATGTATGTCATGCATGAGCAGAGTGGGTAATACAAACCAAGAGAGAGCGAGAGGGTGCAGTGGAGCCTACAGAAAATTGCTGCCTGGGGTCCTGCAGGCAGACTGGGGCGAGACTGTCTGCCTGCCTCCATGTATCTGGGATCCCAGGTGTCCCTGTGGGAGGCTGTGGAAGGGTTATTGCTTTGGGCAGCACCATACCTTCTCCTGCAGCTTGGCACAGGGATGGAGTGTCTTCTGCATGAGTCTCACCAGACCTGCAGACTGGAGGCTGTGGACTCTTTCCATCTGTACAGTTGCTTTTGCTCCTGGCTGTTGTGTAGTAGTGGTGAGGTGGTGAGGGCAGAAGACTTCTTGCTTTACCCATGATGTGCGCTAGATCCAAGGACAATCTAGTTGTGTGCCACTTATAATAATTGATAATTACTCCTTCAGAACACTTTACAGAAAGCTGAGAATGCCCACCTTGGCATGCTGAGGTAAGGAAGCATTGCTGTTTTGATTTTGCAGCTAAATACTTACGTAGCTTTGGCCAAAAAAGTTTTTTAAAGGTGGATCCTGAGATTGTCCCTGCTCACTGCAGGGGGGTTGGACTAGATGACCTTTAAAGGTCCCTTCCAACCCAAAGATTCTATGATTAGGGATTTAAGTTCTGAGGGCCTTAGAATGTGATTTGGATAAGGACTGAGCTGTGCCCAGCTGTTGGAATTGGGTGTTTCTAAGTACTTCCAACAAACAATCTGAAGTGTCTTATATTCAGTACCTAAAAATTTAAATCTCAGTGGCCAAAGTGTTCCAGATTAACACTGATGGATTTCTGGATTTCCTTCACGGGGCTCAACCAGAAACTCCCATTTAGGCTCCTTGGTAAATAGAAAAATTTTTAAGAAGCTCCATCCCATGACAGCTCTCATTTTTTCACTGGCAGCTGGATATTTGTGGATAGAGCTACTCCCTTGAGGCACGTGCATGGAGGCACTTCAGCACATGTTTGAGGTCTGATGCTTTGCTTTAATATCCGCCTCGGTTTCTCCAAAGATACAAAGTCTGTCAGCTCTGGCAAGTACAGTCAGAGTGATGTGCTCTCATACCTGAAGTTGTGACTTGGCTAGGATGAGAGTGTTGCCTTCCCTTGTAGCAGATGTCCAGCAAAATCTTGATACTCTGTAATTAAGAGCACCTGCAACTTCATTTGCATGATGCAGCAGCTGCCAAAGTGCCCACACAAGAGCAGTATTTCAGATTGCATGTGTCCTTGAGAATGGAAATGCTCGTGCAGGAACATGCCAAGAGATGCACTTTGGCTAATGGCCTCTGCGTTCTTCCCGGAACGCTCAGTCTGTGGGAGGATGACAGCGGAAAAGGGGGGGTGTGAGACACGAAGAGGAACGAGCAATAAACATGGAAACTGGGGTGAAATTGGTGGAGCAAGGGAAAAGAGCAATTTAGAAATTGTTATTCCTGTGACCTCTGCTAGGCCGGGAATGGAGAGAGGATAATGGAGAACTAAAGACCCAGTGCTCACTGGTACAGCTAGGCTGGAGCTGGTAGCTGTTCCTCTCTGTCACCTTCCCTGGGCAATGTGAACGAGGGGTGGCACGAGCTCCTGGCAAGCTGCCGGCAAAGCCCTCGGTTAGGCATCCTTGTGTTAATGTAATGGTGTCTCCAAGGAAGCGGGTCACATCCCTGTGGCCTTTATTAAATAAAACCACGTCGAAACTGCCCCAAGAACAAATGGTGGGAAATGCCCAGGTGAGCTGCTGAAGGCAAAGAGAGCAGATGAGATCACTTTATAAGACAAGACTCTCTTTTTTTACTTGGCAGTTCAGTGACTTGCAGCCCTGGCTCCCTGTGGTCCCTCTATTTCAGCAGTGCTCGGTGCCAGGTTGCCAGCGCATGGTCAGTTGCTCTCGTTGAACACTGAGCGCGGAAAGGCGAAGGCCTGGCCCTTCAGACTATCAGGAAACACAGGCTCAGCTGTCTGAGGAGGACAGCAAGCAAGCAGTGCTCTTTTGTGTGCTCTTTAGACAACAGGATTAAGGCCATCAGGCTGATTAATGTGATGTTAAGTGAAAGCAGAATTTCCCCTCCCATGGAGAAACAGGACAACAGTTAGTTGGAGCTCTCTGTTGAAGCCAAATAATTCATGGACGTATGCCGAATGGTTTGTTTTTTTTTTTTGCTTTTCCTAAGCTGAGGACTGCCAGCTCCTTACCAAGATCCCAAAAGTCAAGTGTCTACGAAACACCCGGCGAGAAGGTGAGTGTGGAAAGCTTTGTAGGTACAAAGATTCTGCAAATTTTCCCACATGGTCCTATTTGCCTATTTGCCAGCTGTTTACATGTTGTTTCTTATAGTTACAGTTTGTTTCTTCAGTATAAGGATTTGGTATCCTCGTTTAGAGGCTCTGTGGAAGGAGAACCTGGCTTATCAACTCAAGCTTCAGGGCTCTCATTTCATACTTTAAATAATGAAAATTGGTGTCCAGGGCCTTGGCTAGAACAAGGACCACATTTTAAGATCTTTATGAATATAGATGCAGATGTAAGTCCTGTCCTTTTAACTCAGAGTGCAAGATAACAAGCCATCTAAGAGATGTGGGAAAAAGAGAAACAATCATATATCTGTCATAAAGAGATACAATTAAGGAAAGTTATTTCTCATATATCTCCTATGTGCATAAATGGTAACACTGACTTTCCCAGCTGCTCTTTAGTTTGACTCACATGAGTTATTTCTAAAGCTGTCAGTGCACAGCAAGCCTGCAGCAAGGATCTGGAAAGGGAAACGGGAATCACTGCTTGGTTCACAAAGAGCATCCCAGGTAGTGGGATGGTCTGTAAGAAAGTAAGGAGGCATCTAAGAGCCAGATTGATATCTCTGACCACAGGGCAGAATAAAGGACAAATGGGAATAAAGCCAATAAGCACTAAGAAAGATGACAAGCAGAGAGTAGAGCTTGGTCCTGTGGAAATGGTGAGAGAGGCAGCAGGGAGCTCTAAATGGGAGAGACACTGAGTAGGCAGCAGCAGGGTACCCGTGGGGAGGGCTGGAAGGGAAAGGAGATGTCATCGCAGCAGGAACCAGCTGAAAGCTCAGTGGCATGGGCAGAAGGGACAGGCAAGGTCATTCTTTGTGTGCTGGGAGGGCTCCCCAGGGTGACCCCCAGGGGATAGTGTCCCCCAGGGGATGCCCTGCGAAAGCTGCTCACTGCTCCTGATGGAGGTGTGATACAGGAGAACCACCTGCTCTTCCCCTCTAATGGCCACACTATTTTTTCTGAAGGAGGCTCAGCTGTTTTCCTTCCTAACCTTCCTGATCCTCCTTTTCTCATTGTAGGGCTGATTCGCTCTCGGGTGCGAGGAGCTGAAGTGGCTACTGCTGACATTCTCACCTTCTTGGACAGTCACTGTGAAGTCAACAGCGAGTGGCTGCAGCCAATGCTTCAGAGGGTAAAAGAGGTGAGCACCATGTTCCCCTCTGGCATGCATGGAGCTGGCCTGTCTTCTGCTGGTGGATCCTCTGCCCTCACATGCCATCAGCAGTACTGGTGAGGACAAAGCCTGCCCAGGTACTCGTCTTTTCAGGCAGGCTGTTACAGAGCTAGATGGGCAAGAGATCCCTGATGGGCTTCTACGTTCTCCTGCCAGTGTGGCAGGGGAGGAGGTGCTGAGTGATGGGATGCAATGGTGAACACTTGAACCACCAACTTGTACCTCATGTTTCCTGCAGGTGCTGTGCTTCCTAGTCCTGTCCACCTGTACATAGGATAGCCACTCTGGCAGCACACACTGTGAAACTTTTCCATGGTTGCCATCTCCCTTCTTGATGCTGGACTCTCCCTGCTGCCTTGGTTGATTATTTCTAGGCTGATGATAATGAGCTAATTCAAGGATGCCAAAATTTTCCTTCCATTAATGCTCCAGCTGAGCTGCCAACACATGCCACATGCATGCAGATGGCTTCCTAGCACAGAGGAGCTGCCTGTGAATGCAAGGGTGTCCCTTTGCTGGTTCACTTGGCAAAGGATTGACATGAGGCTGGAAGAGAGAAAGTGAGACAGGAATATTAGCACCTGTCACCCTGACTGCATTGTAGGGCTGGAGGGGGAGACATACAGCTCTGCTGTAAGAGCAAACTGAGGAGAGGTGATGAGAGAAATCACAGCCACACTTGCAACTGGCTGGGATTGAACCCCTCCTCTGAAAGGAGGATCCCATGGAGTAATGGGCCCCAGGAGAAGGGGCGGAGGGTCTAATGCTGCCTTGTATTTATGTCTGGTTGGCTTAATATGAAGGAGAGGAAGAAGGTGAAACTTCAGGATTGATGACTTAAAAGCTGCTGCTTTTTATTTCTGCTCAATAAATCCTCCATCTCAGAAGCCTGTAAGTGTTTACTTTACTACTGCTCTTTAAGTCAAGCTGCAGCTGCAGCAGCATAGGAGTCCTTAAGCAGAAAGGACCTCACTAGTTTCTTCAGGGAAGGATCTAAGTTGCAAAAGCTTGTGTGCTGACTCCAGTATTATTTAGTGAGCAGATTTCATATCAGCCTATTTCTGACCTACTTCCTACATTTCTGATGTGCATTGTAGTTCAGATTTCAGTCTTGCCGTATCCAGTCTTAGCATTGACACTGGTTGGAGCAGTGGCTGGAGCACCAGACTACCAGGTGGGTGCTGGGTGGCTCAGAGCAAGACATACTCTTGCTGTGCAGCCATCGCAGCATGGAGGGGAATAAACATGGATGATAGCTCTCACCTAGGGTGTGCCACCCTTGCCAAGTGCGCTACAGCAGGAGGAACTATTGCAAGGCACAAATTGAAGGTTTGAGATGAAAGGCAGGGAGGCCGGCAGCTGTCCGATAACAGGATGCTGTTTCTGGCATTGCCAGCTCTCTGTTTCATCATACATTTCGACTATTACAAGAGTGTCTTTAATGGCCAGTCTCATGATGTTGAAAAATTGTTATATCTCAATCTCTACTTAATAAAAGGATTGCAAAGAAAAACGGTAAATATCTATATCCCTTAATGCCAATAAAGTACCCCCAATGTCTTAATATTATATTATGTTTTTTTCAGTTTGCACTGTGATTCTTAAGTGTTGGGTCTTCATTCATAGTACTTGTTAGGAAGATGCTTTATTAGGGGGTTGGTTATTTCTAGACTGATGATAATGAGCTAATTCAAGGATGGCTGAGCAGAAGGGATGCTGTCAGTAGATATCAAAACCAAGCACATAACCTTTGGGACAGTGATTCATGTCCTGTGATGGGCAGGAAATAAAGAGCTGTTTCTTAGCAGCATGGGTGTTGAGGTCCCAGGCTCCATTCCCCATGTCCATGGTGTGCAGTTGGCTAATACCCACCATCTCCACGTTTGGATGTAGTGGCCATGGATCGCTTGCTCAGCTACCAGAACTGTACTGGAGCAGCCAGCCAAAGATTTACATGTGCAGCTTTGTGTTTTCTGATCTCTAGCAGCCTTGACAGACCTTCAAGAAAAACCTGACTCCTTTTTTTTTCCCTTTCTCTCTCTCCTGCAGGATTATACACGAGTGGTGAGTCCAATCATTGATGTTATCAGCCTGGATAATTTTGCCTACCTGGCAGCATCAGCAGATCTGAGGGGAGGTAGGTATAATGAATGGCTTGTGTAAGTTAGGCCTGAGGGATGGTGCATGAAAAATAATTTATGTTCTCTTCATCTTTCCAAGAAAACAGAGTGATGATCTTTCCTGATGAGTTCTCTGAACTCTTTTTCCTGCAACTTGCAAAGTCATATCTTTGCAGTGTTAAAACAAAACCCAGTTAATGTTTTCCTCTTGAGCTTGCATCACTGTTACAACATTTTGCAATTTCAGGGCTTACTTAACTGATTAAACATATCACCATACCCTCCCCTAGACTACCTGTACAGTGGAGCCTGATAGGCACTTCCAGTTGCTGCTCCTATCTGCCAGGCTATCTCATGGCATCTTCTGAAAAGCATTTTCACGTCTCTCTTGGCAGCTGAACCTCCTTGCAGCTCTTCTCATGGTCACCGACAGTGCCTGGTGCTCTTCTCCCTCTTCTGTGGCTGGGGTTCACCACCACACTGCTTGCCTGCCAAAGGCTACTCGTTCTGTGACTACCCTTAACAATGGTATAATGTTAGTGACTATGCTGTGCTCAACTATCCACCACAGGCCAACTATAAATAAGTGGTAGTCTTGAAAGAGGTGATGATTACAGTGTTCTGCAGGCCTTTGTTCCCAGAATATATCACATCCCACAAAGTCCTTTGATTAAAGCCTCATGACTTTGGCAGACAGGGAAGCGTAAGACAGAATGGCCAAAATGCAATTACGTCTCACACTGAGAACACTGCTCTGAAGATACGGAGTGGAACTGAGCAGAGATCTGTAGTGCTAAGGGGTGAGGATTCCAAGACAGAAGTTGGTGGCTTCTTAGCTATGTTAGGATAGACTCTTGCCATTGTGGGTAGACCAGAAGGGAGGTCAGGGAAGGAACGTAGGGATAACCTGTGATACAAAGGTGTAGACTATCACTGAAGCTAATTAATAGAAAAACAATAACAAAACCTATTTGATGTGGTTTTTTTCCTTCTCAGGGTTTGACTGGAGCCTTCACTTTAAGTGGGAGCAGATTCCTATAGAGCAGAAGATGTCCAGAACAGACCCAACTCAATCTATAAGGTAGCTGTCTCTGACAGACCATGTACAGTCTTCCAAATGCCTTTACTAAGCCTTCACCTATATGGGAAGGCGTGCACAGGGACTGCCTTGCTGAGGACGAAATGCCACAGTGTTCACTTGATGATGACAAACTCTTCCTGCTATTTCCTGAATGCATTGAAGTCTATACCCTAATTCTGAGAATATTGTAAGAATAGCAATTATATGCTATAATAGGCTTGTAGGCATGCCACTGCTACAAGCCACCTCTTCTCCTATAAGTTTGTTTTTGTGGTCTCACTCAGCATTCTGAATGCCTTCAGAAACCCTTTTGGGTTTTTTAATTACCTCCATCTTCCAGATGAAGAATTAAGGAATGAAGCAGCTAAACAGTCACCTAGGAGGTGTAAAGCAGACCTGGGAAATGGGTCTTGCCTAATAATTTGGATACGGAATTATCCTCCCCTCCCTAAATATGTGTGTCCATGGATAAAAGAGGCTCTGTTGGCTGGAACAAGTTATTGCCAGCCTTGCTGCTGTGTACATGGCTCTGAGGAATGTAGAGTGTGACAAATCCTGATATAAAAAGTCACAGTGCTTGTCTGTATAGGCAGACAGCTCCCTGTTTGCAACATAAAAGTATCTTTCAACTCCTCTGTGTAATTTGTGAGCTTCTGCTTTGTACTCCAGAAGCAACCAGTGTACTATAACAGCAGAGCAGTACGTTCAGCAAAGTCTCTCACACTGTGTCTACTTGGTGAACACAGTCATCAGACAGTGCCCCTGTCATTCCTTCGCACTGTGCATATTTGTATAAATGCAAAGGCACAGAATTACTCATGTAGTGCTTGCAGGACCATCTGACAAAGGCAGGAGGATGATATAATGAGATGGATCTCAGAAGCCTGCTGCAGGTTCATGTCCCAGCTCTACTATTTTTCTCTTTTAAATGAGATATGATTTGTCAGGCCTGGACAGATTGTCCCCCGTCTAAAATGAAGATGGTGGTGCTACATATTGTCCTGGTTTTGGCTGGGATAGAGTTAATTCTCTTCCTCATAGCTGGTATAGTGCTTTGCATTTGTGTTGGATTTGGGATGAAAATAATGTTGATAACACACTGATGTTTTTAGTTGTTGCTAAGCAGACAAGGACTGTCCAGCTTCTCATACTCTGGCTTGCCAGCAAGAAGGCTGGGGGTGCACAAGAAATTGAGAGGGGACACAGCCAGGACAGCTGACCCAAACTAGCCAAAGGGCTATTCCATACCATTCCATCAAGACATCATGCCTAGTATATAAAAGGGGGGAGTTGGCCGGGGAGACGCTCCTGCTTGGGAACTAACTGGGCATTGGTCAGCAGGTAGTAAGCAATTGTGCTATGTATCACGTGTTTTGTATATTCTTTTATCATTAGTATTATCTTTTTTTTTTTTTTGCTATTCCATACCATTCCATCAAGACATCATGCCTAGTATATAAAAGGGGGGAGTTGGCCGGGGAGACGCTCCTGCTTGGGAACTAACTGGGCATTGGTCAGCAGGTAGTAAGCAATTGTGCTATGTATCACGTGTTTTGTATATTCTTTTATCATTAGTATTATAATTTTTTTTTTTTTTTTTTTCCTGTCCTATGAAACTGTCTTTATCTCAACCCACGACTTCTACTTTTTTTTCTAATTCTCATCCCCATCCTGCAGGGGGGTGAGCAAATGGCTGTGTATTATACTTGTGATTATTTCGTGTGGGCTTGTGTTTTCTTTTCCAGAACCCCTGTCATAGCAGGAGGCATCTTTGTGATCAACAAGTCCTGGTTTAACCACCTGGGAAAATATGACACTCAAATGGACATCTGGGGAGGAGAAAATTTTGGTAAGTTTAGGGTGTTTCAGTGGAATGACACACTAATGCAGTACTACTTCCAAGTCTTCATCACCTACCAGAACACTCCTTTTGAGAGATCTGATCTGCATGTAAGGCTGGGGACATGGTCAGGTAATCCCCGTGTCAGTCAGAATTGTATCACTGTCAGCTTTGTGCAAAGTAAATGGAGGCTTTTTGCAATCAGGGCTATCACTCTCTCTTACAGGCATATGCACTATTATACAGGTGCTTCCACAGTACAAGTAAGAAAGAGGAGCCTCCTGATATTTAAATGGTTGCTTGTTTTTGGAGAATATTCCTCCAGCCCTTCACGTGAGAGTCTGTGTTGCCCCAGCTCTGAAGTGGACAGTCACTCCTATGCTCTCTTCTCATACCTGTTCCTTTTTCCCAGATAAGTCTGAGTTGCTCTCCCAGCTTGATAGATGTTTTTCCTAATAAAACGAGCCTCTTTGTAAGCAGAATTTGGGTACAAATAGATTCAGAATGCAAACATTTAGAAGCAGACTAGGGTGTCACAAACATCTGAGGAATTCGGAGGCCCAGGATAGTGTGTCCACTCAAGTGCTGTTATCTTATAGGGCATGGTGCTGAAACCCATCTCCTTACACTTCATGGTGGCACAGATATTCCAGGCATCTCTCTTTGCCCCCTGTGAAGGGATTCTGCAGTGTCACCAGGTGTTAGGGACAAAAGGAAGAAAAGTATTGAAAAAGAGGTTCACAGAGACCTCAAGTATGCGGGGCATTCATTTAGAAATGATGCAGGTGCAGCTGAAGAGATAAAAGCCTTACTTTGTTCTGCAGTCAACTTAAATAGACTTTTCTGTAGCTGCCAAAAAATTATTCTGTTTCTACAGTTTCCATAAATGTCACAGATTTGTAAATAAATCCCTTTTAAGAATAATTTACATGGTGTTTTCTAGCACCTAGAGGACCAATTAGAAAGAAAGAAATAGGAAAAGAAAACCTTTGTTTCTCTGAACACAGCTGGGAGAGCTGCGTCCTTCCGAAATGCTCTCTGAAACCAGAAATAATATTTTTGTCTGATGAGAGAATATCAAGGTACCACTTTTTTAAAACAAAGTCTCTAATGAGTGCTTGTCTTCTCTGTTTTCCAAGGTCTTGCTTCAGTTTTATGATATTCATGATATTAGAAAGAGATATTAAATGGGGCTTGCATTGGGATCTCAGCAGTGCTAGTAGCATCAGCTAAGCACTGTAGGCAGAAGTGACAGGCAGCCTTTAGCCAGGCATGAAGATCCCCTCTCCCATATCCCTCAGACTCCTCTGCATAGACAAACTCAACTCCTTGCTGTCACTAGCCCTGCTCTAGTTGCAGAGCCAGCCATTTGGCCATCTGGCCAGCCTCTGAGCCGCAACTGTGTAAAAGCTGTAAACCCCAAAGACGGAGAAAGAATATTTCTTCAGGCTTTCGGTTGTCTGCTTCTGCCCACCTGGGAGCCCAGTGGTGGTGTTTGGTGCGTATGTCAGTAGCTCAATGCTAAGCAGAGCTCTCTGCCATAAGTGGCAGTAAATTACCTGCACACCCACAGCTCTTCTTGCACGTAGAGCTGATCGAAACTTCCACAGAATTGCTTCATTCTCCTTCAAATTCCTTTTGTAAAGCCTGGCAATGGCTGGGCCAGGCTGTATGGGACTGGGCCAGGTGTACAGGGCTTGCCAGTTTTGCCTTGTTGTGTGGTTTCCCTGTAAGTTCATTGTCTCCCATCACTTGTCGCGTATTCTGTACCTCCACTCTTCGCTTAAGAGGGCAAAGGTAAGTGCACAATGCTGTGTTTGATGGGGCCTGTCCCTGAGCTGCATTGCCACACCACTACTGTGACGATGGCAGTGGGAAGCTATTTTAAAAGCAAAACAGATTAGTTTTGGTTTTTAAAGCTAACTTTTGTTCAGCTCTTCAGCATAATGTGAGTCAACAAATCAAACCAGTGACTTCTACATCGAGCCTGTTGCTGTTGCATGGCAGAGGGGTAGAAACCAACCTGTACTTGACAACAAAAAGTATTAATTTTCCTTGAAGTATTCAGAATAGTTAATTTACTCTCTTAAAAACAGTTTTCCATACTTAATTGAAAATTAGATTTTGTGGTCAAGGAAAAATGTTGATAATGTTCTGAAACACTATTTTTACTACAAATCACAATTTTGAATGGAAAGGAACTGTTTGGATAAGGTCACCATTTTCAGGTGAGGTGGGAGAGTGATTCTGACTAATCCGAGTGGGTGAGATGGGCCATTCCCTGCTCATGAAGGCCATTTTTAATAAATGTCATCTTTGAAACTTTTTTCCTGTGAGGAAACAGGATAAAAGGGTATATGGGAAGGGCACAGAGCCAGACAAGCTCTACACACAGAGCAAGTACACAGAAATGATCAGGCAGCAATTACCAGCTGCCTAAATATTCTTCCAGCTGGATGTGAGCTGTGATGGGGAAAAGCCACAGTGATTAAGTCATTTAAAACACGTATGGACTAGGTCACATCCTGGAAAATAATACAGCAAAAAGTTCTCCTATGCTTTCCATCAGAGGATGGATGAAAGTCCTTAATAAGCTATGTTTGATCTCCATTTTCTCTTCTGTGCTCAAGCTCTGCGTTCTTTCACCTCCTTTTTGAAGAACTCTGTCATTTACAAACCTGGACATGCAGTCTGTCTGTGTGTCTAAGGTATCAATATGGGATGAGGAGTCCTCTCTCGGGAAATGGACATCACTTTAAGTCACACATGCTAGATTGAGAGTTTTGTTTTTGTTATAGGCCGGAGTGAGTCAGAACTTTATTTCAGGAGAGCATATGCCAGCTGGACACACCACCAGACAGAAACTTATGTTTTGGCCTTTTTTTTTCCTTTTTAAAGCCCTTCCTCTCTTCGAAGCTGGAACTCCCTGTTGAAAAGAGACTGAAATAAGCTCTAGGAAGGAATCAGAGAGAGACGAGAGCTAGTAAGAAATGCCACAAAATACAGTCTAATAAAATGATTCTTTACTTAGAAGCTAGATTAAATACACACTCTACACCAAAACACACTGTTTAAACAACCTTTCCCAGGAGCTAGAGAGGGAAGCTATGGAGAAAGATGAAGATTGGGAAGATGTTAGTATGTGTACATGCTTTGAAACAGCTATTAGATCCGGATACATAATTTCTTTTTCATTTCTAAACATCAGAGCACCTTAATTCAGGCATTACTGGAGGGAGATCCTAACTGAGTGAAGTTTTTGAAGTAATCAGTCTACATAATCTGAAGCCCTTTTGGTAAGGACTACCAAACTACCCAGCTAATTTTCATTTTTCTTCTTCCTTCTTCTCTTCTCACTGTCACTTGAAATGCAAGTGGAAAACCCCTCAGGTGTGGCAGTGATTAAACTTGCAAGGACAGACCTGTAAGCTTTAGCAGGGTCACATCTCTTCTGTGATGCTAATAAGTGCCTGTACATCAAAGATCCATGTTCTTCTAATCCTTTAACAAAATGTTGAATTTAGCTTCAGGACCAGCTGAATTTCTTCAAGTAGCAGGGTTCTCTCCATATTTTTATAGTTTCACTCTTAGACTGATTTCTGCTCTCAGTAGCTCCCCCAGCAGAGGCAACTGGCGACAAACTCTAACCCAGTCATCCACTTCTTTGGTTTTTTGTATTAACAGGGCCAAGCAGAACAAGAACAACAACATATTGTAGGATGGATAACATGGAGGAATGAGGGACAGGACTCTGCTCACTTCCTATGCCCTCATCTTGTTCTCTTCTTTCTCCTTGTCTCCTAAACTCCCTTTCTTCCTCACATGATTTGCTTTACATGGTGAATACTTCTTTTTTTCTTTCATCCATGTGCCGGGCTGGAGAGTTACAGAAGTCCAAAACAAAGTGGGTGTGGGTGTGATCTCTGTTGCCAAATGCCATCCTGAAGGCCTGACAGCAACTACAAGGACCTGGTCAGAGGGAAAGGTGATTCAGTGAAATGCTTGGGGGACCAAAGAGAGGACTGGGACTGGAGAAGGCTAGGAAGTCTCTGAGGCACAAGGGTGCCTCCATTTTAACAAAGGGAGGACAGTTTTTCCACTCACTATGGCATCACTTTTTCTGGTTTTGCTGTTGCAGGCAATACATCTAGAACAGAAGGGCAAGGTTTTCAGGTGCACTGCTGAAGTTGTCCTTCTTGGAAATGCTGCCGATCTGCCTGCAGCTGTATGACTCTTGGGGTCTCTTTCAGAGCTCTCTTTCCGAGTGTGGATGTGCGGTGGCAGCTTGGAGATCGTTCCCTGCAGTCGAGTGGGACACGTGTTCAGGAAGCGCCATCCCTATGACTTCCCTGAGGGCAATGCACTGACTTACATCAAGTAGGTGTTGGGTAGTTCAGCGAGGTCACCTTGATGTTGGGCATGTCTAAATAAATCTGAATTCTTTGTTGTCTTTCTCCCTGATGATAGAAGAGAACAGCATGTGGCTTAACATCTGTTCTCAAGGGAAAGACGAGTTGCTATTTTCTGTGAACAAAACCTGTGCCCCTCTCTGTTGTTTGTATTAGTGTGTCTTGTTCTTCCTCAGTCTGCAATGGAGGGGGGGAGCAGTACCCCAGAGAGAGACCCTGGCCATTCATGGATACTGCCCTATGACATGTGCCTGTGTATCAGCAGTCCTTAGTCATCTCTGTTGGCTCTGAGCTGCTTTTGAGTCCAGACATCCTACTGAGCTGTATGTGCTCTGACACAAGCCCTAAGGACAACTTCCACTGCAGGACAGATGGAAAGAAAAAAAAGATGAGACAAAGTGCTTCACAATGAGAGTGGTTAAGCACTGGTGCAGGGCCCCAGAGAGGTGGCGAAACCTCCATCCCTGGAGGTTTCAAAACTCAACCAGACAAGACCCTGAACAGCATAACCTAACCTGAAAGTAGACTGCTTTGGGCAGGAGGTTGGACCAGGTGATACCTAGAGGTACTTTCCAAGCTGAATTATTCCATGACATTATTCTAATCTGAGGAAAGGGATACTGTAAAGCAGGCTAATAGTGACAGTTGGTCCAGGTGACTCTGCAGAGGGAGCATGTGTGAAAAAATCATGGTAAACTATGGCTGTTAAAATTTTAACTTCTGAACTGAAGCATCCTTGCAAGGCTTTGTAGACTTAACACATTCAATCTATATCCATATGTACTGCCCACTGTGTTTCATGTTTGCCCACTCCCTCCTGGCAGACAGGCCCTGGGTCTGCCCACCCAGTGCCTGCTCACTGGAGGGTCAGGTCCTCCAGCAGCACTCAGCAAAGTATTTCCTCATCCCCGTGCAGGAACACCAAGCGCACAGCAGAGGTGTGGATGGATGAATACAAGCAGTACTACTATGAGGCCCGGCCATCTGCCATTGGGAAGTTGTTTGGAAGGTAAGCTGCCCCCAAACCTAAGTAGCAGGGCTCTGGTAAGCCCCCTGCTAGCAAGAAACAGTTTTTGGATCCTGTCTGGTGCTAAGTGTGGGAAATAGAGATGCTCTGAATGGCTGACTTATCAGGGAGGTTGTGGCTCGAGTGTCTGCATAACAAGGTTTGCTTCTAGTTCACTTTATTTTTCCCCGAGTAACCCTGCATAAATCATTTGTTAGGAGAAGGCCGAAGGGATGTGTAATGAAATTAAAAGGCCAAACATTTTAAGTGGATAGATAAGAATATTTTCTAACACAGCATGCAGCTGCTCTGGAAATGTGAGCTATGCAGTTACTAGAGCTTGATCCAAAGTTCCTGTGTGGATGCAGAATCTTGGGGCAAGCTTGGCTAGCTGGCACATGGGGCAGGTTGCACTTGGTGCACTCCCCTCTTTCCTGATGAGTGGATGGGTGGTTTGCCTGGTTTGTAGGGCAGGAGAGAGCATGGCCAATGGTGAGACATCTCTTGTAGAAACACAGTCTGGTTGTGACTCATCTCCAGCACCTGCTGAGACCACTTCTGTGCAGAATTGTGCTCCTTACAGCACCTTTGCTAAAGCTGTCCCCAGGCCACATAGGATTTGCTGTTACAGGCTTAAGCGTTCTTTGTGACCTAGAAATCAGTGATAGACACAAAAACCTAGGAGGAGGGAAGAGCTTGCTCTCTGTGCTAACAAACCCTTATAACTCCCAAATAAACATAAAAAAATCCCAGGAGTGGTGTATATCCATGGGTTATATCTGCCTGCGAACAAGTGACTATTGTATCAGCTTAAGGACTTGGCAAATATGGTTGTATCTCAGATGTGTAGCTACATGGACTGGGTAATGATGCATTTTCTGATTATTTGATGACAAGCAGGTTTGGTCTGATCCACACACACTTTTTTGCTGTACATCGTGCTTTATTATCATGATACATTACATATTTTTGTACAAAGAGCTTTGCCTACCTAATTTATTTGTCTTTGAGCTAAGTGCAGCAGCTGGGCCGGGGCCAAATAGCAAGTAACCCTGCTGCTTTTGAAAGGAAACCAGACTATTGCATATTGGATATGGGTATATTGCTAATGTGTTTTAGGGCCAAAGCCTGCAGTTCTTGTTCACACAGACTTCCTAGTGGCTTTACTGGCAGCATTGGCTGAATAAGAGCTGGAGCAGAGGATTTGATTTTGGGCAATGTCTTGACCTGTAGTAACATCCCCGTGAACCTGCATTGAGTCTAGATTTTAGAATGCAAATGCCTGTGACACCATCATTGTCAACTGGGCCTAAAATGGACCCTCCTTCCCCACAATTTTGATGTGAATATAGGATCTAAGTACATTCTCCTGAGGTATGGACAGTACGGTGGCCTCTGTGAGCTGAGGATGGCAAGGAGCATGGGTACAGCTGAAAGTCCTTTCCAACAGGCAAATGTAGTGGTATAGCTTGAAGAGGAGAATCCCTAATGTCACTGCTCAGCAGGACTGCTTGAGGGAAGTTTTCTTCTTCAGCCAGCTAAAGCCAAGCAAATTAGCAGTGGGAGGACTGCTGCAGCAGTTGCCAGGATGCCGAGTTAATTTCCGCTTATACTGCTCCCTTTTCCCAAAACTGCCTAAGAACATAAAATTACGTTCTTTAGGTGTGAAATCCAACCTGAGCCTAGAGGTGCTGCTGTGTTCCCTCACCTCTAGCATACACAGATTAACCATTTATATATTCTGAGCACCAACACTTTCTAGGCCTTTTCAGGAGCTGATGGTTATGCAAGTTTAATGGTATGCCTGTACAGGGGCACTCAGAGGCAGAAACCCTTTCATGGTCCTACAGAAGTTTTTCTGCAATGTATTATTTAACACTGTAGGACCTGGGCCCTGCCATCGTTCTGAGCCAAAGGAAGTGCAAGAATTACTCTTTGAAGGTGTTTATGTCTTCTGTTTCCTGCCACTTGCCTCTCTCCTCCTTTTTACCTCGGGTCACTGCTAGTGCTCTGAACCCAGCAGCAACTAGGTGGGTGCCCTGGTTTCAGCTGGGATAGAGTTAATTTTCTTCCTGATAGCTGGTACAGTGCTGTTCTTTGGATTTGGAATGGAAATAATGTTGATAACACATTGATGTTTTTAGCTGTTGCTAAGCAGTCAAAGACATTTCAACTTCCCATGCTCTGGCCTGCCAGCAAGAAGGCTGGGGGTGCACGGGGAGCTGGGAGGGGGCACGGCCAGGACAGCTGACCCCAACTGGCCAAAGGACTATTCCATACCATGTGATGTTGTGCTCAGTATATAAACTGGGGGAGTTGGCCAGGGAGGTGCTGTGGCTCAGGAACTAACTGGGCATCGGCTGGCAGGTGGTGAGCAACTGTGCTGTACATCACTTGTTTCGTATATTCTTTTGTCATTATTATTATTATCATAATTCTTCTTCTATTTTTCCACCCATCCTATTAAACTGTGTTTATCTCAACCCACGAGTTCTACCCCCATTTTTTCAGTTCTCTCCCGCATCATGCTGGGCCAGGGGGAGGGTGAGTGAATGGCTGTGTCGTCGTTTTAGCTACCTGCTGGGTTAAACCACAACAGTGGGAGAATGAGTAAGGGGGGAAAGTCATATAGGCTCCCTCAGACCTCCTGACCAATCTTCATTGTTCCCTCCCTCCTGTTCACTACTTTATCCTCAACAACCTGCCTGTGTTTCCAGTGTTGCAGACCGAGTGGAGCAGCGGCGCAAACTGAATTGTAAATCCTTCCAGTGGTATCTGGAGAATGTCTACCCCGAGCTCAAGTGAGTCAGTTCTCCACTTGTAGAAATCTCTGAAGGATCTGGGAGGTGGGTCACAACAAGAAGCTGAGCCTTGGCCGCAGCAGGCAAAAGAGAGATTTAATGCTTGGAAATTGTTTCCCTCTGTTCTTCTTTTTGGTGAGAAACCTCCTATGATTTTCTGGCTTGTATCATCACAACAACTGCAAAAGTTTTTTTGCTCCTGCCTCTGGGAACCCTCTGCTCTGCTCCATAGAGCCTTCCCTCAGAGATGTGCAACAGTGGTGTTTTTGGAGGTGCAGGGTGTAGAGAAGTGCCAGAGAGCTACATCCATCCCCATTAAGGTTTGGTCTCTGCCTCTTGCCTGGAGGTAGTTGAGCCAAGTAGAGCTGGAGAGCCTCAGTGCAGAGCTGCAGGTGGTTCAGAGAAAGCCTTGGTGAATGCCAGAACCAGCTGTGCCTGTGGCTTCCCCTGCCTCAGGTCAGGATGCAGCAGTGCTGCAGCATTGCTCTGCTGGGAGATAACCTGGATAGAGCTGTGTTGTTAGCATTTGCTAGCTAACACACCCTGGCAACACATCTTTACATCTCAGTCAAGCAAAGTCTGCAGCTAACATGGGTCAAGGCTAAAACATCCAGCTGTAGTCTGGCCTTGATAGATCTTTCCTGTATGGCTACCAATGAGGCAGTGAATATATGCTAGCACTGGGGGGAAGACTCTGGAAAAGGGTGAGGCAGAAGCAGATAAATCAGTGTAGATATGGCTTTTTACTAGCAATGGCCTCTTTTGGAAGAGACATCACACTGAACTGCTTTGGGTGCACCTAAAGCACCTTATGCCTTCTGAAGCAAAAGGGTACCAGCCCTCTGACCAGGTTGACTTTTGCCTCCTCCAGGCATTTCCAGTGGATAGCATGATGTTGTTCATTTTCTGGCAAATAAAGGGGACTGTGTTTCAGTAAGGGGCCAGTTGAGCCCTTCCAACTGTTGTGTACTTTGGACATTTCTGTGTATGAAGTGCCATGCAACTGTCATTTTATCTCAAGGGTTCCTGAAAAGGAGCTGATTCCAGGAATAATTAAACAAGGAGGAAACTGCCTGGAGTCTAGGGCACAGGATACCACAGGGAATACATTGACTGGCATGGGAATCTGTAAAGGAACAGTGAACAATCCACCTGTCACTCAGGTAAGGCAGGCTTCAGTTTGGTGCTTTGCTCCTGCTTCTGCCCTTTTTATTACCGGTGAATGACAAGGCTTCTCTGTCCTGGATGGCGTTGTACAGAGGTGAATGAAGGTAGAATTTGACCCTGTTAATGATTTTAATAGTAAGAAAAAGAAGCTGTGCCCATCTCATAGAGCTTTGTTGGCTCAACAGACCCAGCAGTCAGGCATAGAGTGGAAAGGCTTTCATCACTCAAAGGCAACAGGTAGCACTTGGAAGCTCAAGGGTGTGACTGAGTCGGTGCAGTAGGTGTGTGACCTGGGTTTGAGTTATGTGGCTGTTCCCACTCAGACCGTTGCCTGGGTGTGCTCTGTTTCATCATCCAACCCATGAGAACTGGTCCTGGGGTGTGCTTGGCTAGTACCCTGGCACGTGGGTAAGAGATTTTCCCAGGATCAGAAACATTCCGTGGTCTGCCAGTTCAGCTGTAGCTGCAGATGGCTTGAATTGTGCTGTTTTACAGATGCGTTTCAGTGTAAAGCCCAAATAGAGTTTAAATAGGCAAGACCCCAGCTGCAGTAATTTGGTGCAGCTCTCCTAACTGCAGTGGAGCTGTGCTGGTTTATACCAGCTGAGGATCTGCACTCAGCCTCTTCTTTTGGTGACTGAAAGCAGCAGGGAAGTAGCTTGAGAAACTTAAGGGTCACAGTACGATATTTTATGCCAGAAAATACATATTCACATCTGTTAACTGTTGGAAACCAGTTTGCAGCCAACATTCAACATGCCATTTAATCTGACTCATTGCTCCATGTCATTACTGTTTGAAATCTCTGAAAATCACTGCATTTTGTATTTCTTCCTCGAGGAAAGTATAATAGTAATAGCTGATTGGATCAGGTATCTGTCTAGTGAGATGAGGCAAAAATGAAGTGACTTACGCTTTATGTGTGCTGGTGTTATATGTTAGCCCATGGATATGCTTGCATGTGTTTTTCTTTGCTTGACAATCTCTCGGTCCCAGATACCTGTTACAGAATGTGTCAGCTATGTAAAATATGCAGAAGCAGTTGCATGTCATGTAAATCAGGGGTTGGGATCCTCCCTGCTTTGTAGGCCTAAATAAATCTGTAAAGCTGCAGAGCAGGGAGTTGCATGGGATCCAAGGTTAATCAGACAGCTCAGATGGTCAGGGGAGCCAGCTGCAGGCTTTGAAATAGTCATGATGCACCAAGCCTGAGCATAAACTTCTGATCAGATGAAGACTGCTGCCATAGTCTTCCCTGGGAGCCTTTGGTAAAAGTTGAACAAAGGATACAATTTTTTTAAATACCTGATAGAAAAAACTCTTTCTCCTTCATCTGATCACCATTATGATCCTAATGGAATCTTTCTTTTTCTTATGCCAAAGGAGTGGGTATTCAGTGACCCTCTAATTAGACAGCAGGACAAGTGTCTTTCCATTACCTCCTTCTCTACTGGCTCTCAAATCACACTGGAAGCCTGCAATCAAAAAGACGGCAGACAGGTAGGTAACATAGGTAACATACCAGTGTTCCTACATCGGTGCAGCCTGCAGGGGCAAACCTAGTACTATCAAAGTGTACAAAAGCCCCTTCCATCTTCTGCATCTCCCTCTCTGGTGTGTTTCATGAGCTTGGATGTATGAGATTGCCTGCAACCAAAGCAGGGAGCACAGACCACACTAGTGTGTGGGTGTCTGCTCTGCCAGGGCCCTCGGCAGCATGGTAAGCTCCAGCTCAGTAGCACCCTGACCTCACTCCTTGGGTACATTTATGTTCATCTGGATCGGTGCATGGATGGAGCACAGCATCAGAGCAGGGTAGATAAGCAGCAAATGCTTTGAGATACCCAGGGAAGGACGGTGTGTGCTGTCATTTGTTTACTTATTTGGAAGTCAGGGTACTGTATTCTTTGTGATGTCTTTGGACATGTGAACAGACCTTTAAAACTGAGTGTGTGCAACTCATTTGAGAAATACCACCTGACATGAAGCACCGTATGTTCCACCCAAACTGCTCCCGGGGGAAAAATACACAGCAGTAGTGTTCCCAACAAAACGCAGAGTTCCCAACAAAATGCAGCTCTGTGAATCTTACGCAGTTTCCAAGATATGTATCCCTGATCTGTCAGGACACAAAAGTCATTTTGCTTTACAGCACAAGGTAAGAGATGGCCTCTGTGATGGCCAGGGTGCCTTCACAGAGATGTGATGTGCCTTTTTATCACAACCGGGCAAAACACAACAGGTGACAACGCAGCACTGGTGGACAGTGGACTGGGCTTGTTTCATCCCTAGTTCCTGTGCTTCCCCCTACACCAAGGCAGAACACATTTTTGGTCATCTAAGGCTATGCTGGCTCTGTGTTTTCTGACACATCTATTGTTTTGCTAGCCCAAAGGTAAGACATGGCTCAGCTTGCTACCAGTCCTCAGCAGCATCCTCTTTTGTCAGTACTGTTTAATGCTATACAAATCTCTGAATATAGTTCTTCCTGAAATCCAGGAAGCACTGAAATCCAGTCTTGCCCATTTATGGAAAGCCTGTGTAGACTTTCCACTGGAGGGTTGGTTAATGCAGAAATGTGTTGAAGAATTGTCACCATGACTAGGCTGGGAAAACTCTGACTTCGGATTAGCCTTGCAAGGATATCCCAGGTGGGCTGTGCTTGCCTGCTCCTTTTTCTTGTTGGTAATCACTCACCCCCTTGCTGTGTAATTAGGTCATTTAGCTACCCTTAGGTACTTTGCAGCATTTTGCTCCCTAGCAGCAGAGAGGACTCTAGCAGCTGCCAAAATCAGATGTCTTTCCCCGCCTTCCCTGTCATGGAAGGACAGCAGTCCCCTGAAGAGGGGTGGAGTGCAAGCCCTATTAGCCAGAAGAGAGATTAAGCCACACTAACACAAGCAGGCTCATTCTGCTGCTGGAGTAGGATTTATTGAGCCTTGATGTGTTGATTATATACAGGCTTATTATAAAGACATGCACACACACTTAAGAATGTGAGCTGTTGTTTTCCATTACCTTACGTGAACAAACTGCACTTAAGTCAAGGACTTGACCTAGCAAATGATTTAGCCAACTGACTGTAAGCAAAGGTTTTGTTTAAATATTTCAAATAATCAGAGACTGATCTGAATCACAGCTGCCATTCCAAACCACCTTGCAGCTGAAAGGGTGAAGTGGGGATGAGCTGGGAGAAGTGTATTTGAATTTTTAATCTAATTTGGGTTTAAATACTCTGAAATGTTGGGGGTTTTTTGGAAGTTCCAAACTCCCATTTTAGATTTCTACTTATAAAGCCAGTTCTACTTGCAATGTTCAGGTTTGTTGTGTTCTTGGGGAGCAATGTTATGGTCCCTTCCTTCCATAAATACAACAGTAATTGTTGTTAATACTGACATTGGATTGTAATGAGCTCAAATGCAGTCATCTTTGCAAATGATCCCATTGTCTCTCCTCCATCTCTTTTCTAGAGGGGCCACCTGCATCTAATGCAATGTTTTCTGCTTACTTTGGGAACTGGCTTTTTCTCTGCTGGGTCCTAGCTAGAGTGGAGAGTGAATCTAACAACGTTTATGGGTGTCATCTGAGAGTGTATATCTGGGCTGACAAGGCATGTTTCTTGCAACAGAGAGCCAAGACAGAGAGGGAGTCTTGTTCTTCCTGGGTTGGCAGCTTGCAGAACCCCCTGGCTGGGATGTCACCCAAGCTCAGCTCCTGATATTTGGGAGGTTGAGTTTCAAGGAGATGGCTACTGCTGTAGAAACTTTAAAGTGTGAGATGAAAGATGAAAGAGCAAAGCTGGGGGGAACAAAATCCCTCAGTTGCCCTACAACTTGCCTGTTTCCCTGTGGGTACTCACAGCTGAAAGCATGAGCAGTGAGGGGAGAGCAGTGTTTTTAAACTACACACGAGTGTAGCCACTCTTCAGTTCAAGTGGGCTTCTCAGAAAGTTGGAGGGGCTGAGTGGGAGTGGAGGAAGGGAAGTTGAGCTACTTCAGAGAGGTGGAGGTGGCACGCAAGAGCCCCGAGTAGGTGGTCTGAGTGGAACGGGGTGAGTCTGGGCAATGTGCATCACACATACAGTATCTTAAGAGGAGACAGTGGCATGACGAAAGCCCAGCTTTGAACGTCTCTGGTGTCACCATCATCAGAGGTTTGTGGTGGAAGACTTTTGGACTTTTCTGGATCTATGTCTGAGTGGTGCAAAAGCAAGATTTCTGGCAAAAGGTGGGGCACGTGATGGCTTCATTTTTTAGTGTCACCAGAGCAAATTAGTCAGATCCTTACAACAGCACCATACAGCTTCTAAAGTTGCTTTCTGCTTTCAAACACACTGATTCTGTGCCCATGCTACACAGCTGTGGTGCATTAAGCGTGTCCAAAGAGCAGGTAATTTTGTTGTTATCTTCGAGTGCTAACAACAGTCCATCTAACATATATGTAATACTCTAGCAGAGGATTTACAGTATTATGAGCTGTATCTAGAGTATTACTTCAAAATAAGTCTAGAACTTTGCAAGTAGGAGGATACGAGGAATCGTCAAAATTTAGATGGTTTTCAGTTCAGTCAGGCTATTCTCCCTTGGGTTGAAAGGAACTAGGAACAAAATCTATTTGGCACCATGATCCCATTGATCATTCAACAGCAACAACTGGCACTGCTAGCAGAAGACCAGCCAAGAGCTATTCTGCATAAGCAGAACAGGATTTCAAACCAGATGGATTTTATCCATAATGTTATTTGGAGAATAGCATTTTTTGCTTGAATGCACAATAAATTACTGCCTTTTGCTTTGGTTTTGGCTCTGACTGACAGTGGGAGTGGCATTTTAATTTGTATTATAGTGAGGACAAATAGAAGGCAAAGTGAGAGTCAGACACTAAAACAAGACGATGAAAATGAGAAACGCTGGCACAGTATTTCCCAACAGAACAAGCAGCGTGCTGAGAAATCCTATTAAACAGCCATATTTCATTAAAATGTGCTGAAGGAATGTGACCCCAGCTTGAAAATGAGGACGCTACGTTTTCTTGTGAGACAAACAGTATTTGAAGTCCTCTGTGCCTTTGGACGTGATTGGGAAGTTTTTCTCACCTTGCTTCTCAGTGTATCATACTATCCAAAGTGCAGACAAATGCAACTTTATATAGACTATCAGAAAAGAGGATTGAATACCTGTCTCTTCTGGAAGCACCTGACTTTTGATTACCCTGAAAAATTACACTAGTGTAAAGACTTTCAGCTTTTGTATATATTTGGTAGAAGAGGACTGGCTATTTCTGACTTTTCTCTTAGTAATTGCATGTGGAGTGCTGCAATCCAGTCACCTCAAAGTACTTTACAATGATAGATAATAAAGATGGAGAAAGAGCTTTACAAAAGAGTGGGGAAATTTTTGGTCGACATTGGGGAAGAAGACCAAGACACGATATTTCAAAGAAAATATGGATTCTTGTTTTTCCATCTCCACTCCAAACCTGGTGTGACTGGTAAACTGTATTGCCTCCATCTTCCACAAGAAAGGAAGGATGGAGGTAGATTTTCAAGCCAAAATTTTTCAGATTGTGTAATCCTTCTATCTTCCAAAAGCTTTCCTTCCAAGTGCAGGCCAGTCATAATGTCTGGGTGTAGGGAGAGGACTCCCTGTAATGTTTGGCTGTGTATGCAGGAGGTGTCTGCTCTGTTTGTTTGTTTTTCCTAAAGATGGGCATCATCACTGTTATTTAAAAGTCAGCTATCCAGGCTCCCCTTGTGGTCTGTGGAGAAAGCTGGGCCCTCCCAGAAGGTGCTTGTACCTTGGACCCCTCCATAAGTATGTCACCAGCTGACTAGTTTAGACTAAGTTGCGCAGCTCTGAGCTGGCTGACAGTGGGAGATGAGCATCCTATCTCCTGTTTCCACCCATTCCTACTGCCCGCCCTCTGATGTGTCCCTACAGGGTTAAGTATTGGGCTGTCCTCGGTAATCCTGTGGTCGGGCAGGGGGGTGCTGTGAAAGGATTAGGTGAAGTTAGGGGAATTGCTCTGGTGTCTCACAGAGGACAGCAAAGCACAGTTTCTGTCCAGAAAGGATAGAATACATAATTCTGAAAATACCACTTTCATGTGAGATGAGGAGCCCTACTTTGGTTTTTACTGTCAGTACACTTTATAATAGCTCCATGCATGGCACCTTCCTGCAGCCCAGATGAGCCTTGTACTCAACTCTGTCACCTTTTCAGCATTTCTCCTCCCCCTTCCCCATCCTTGCCCCACTCTCTGTTGAACATAGGGATCCAGGGTGACTTGAAATGCTGGGCTTTCCAGTGGTGTGATTCACTGGGAAGCTGATTGATTTGTTGTAGCTTGTTAGCAGCAGAAAATGCGCTCTGGTGAGTTTTGCTGGTGTTCTGCTGTGTCTGTTGCTGTAGGCTCTCCCTACAGACATCACAGTGGGTACCTGCTAAGCATGGTGAGATGACACGGCAGCGGGTCTCTGATCTGGAGGAATAACATAAGCGAGCCTCCCAGTGGTGCTAGTTTTCTCCTGAACGTCTAGTGGGGGAGAAGAAAATCAGTGTCTCTTGGTGATTGCCCTTGTCTTCCATCTCAGATCTCGTAACAGCATACTCCTTTACAGCAGGGTCTTCTGGTGAGCTACGGGGTATGTGGGAGAGACGGCTGGCAGGCATACTCTAGCTCATGCAGAGAGGAAGGTGAAGGAGGAGGCTGGCAATTCACAAGTACAGAGAGGCAGGGGGAGAGTGGAGGACCAGGAAGAGTTTCGCTTTGCACAGTAAGGTGTGCTTTGGAGAAGGTCAAGAGGCTCTTCACCGAGGTGTCTGTGACCCTGGGAAACAGTGGTGGGGAGGCCATTGTGCAGAGGTCGCACCAGCTGGGCACAGTGTGCCGCTTTCCGGGGGAGAAGACCTCCTGCTTTCCACTCCATCATTACAGCTGCTGCTTTATGGTATTAAGTCTTCCTCAGCTGTTTGCAGGGAGGCTTCTGCCAGATGAGAGCCAGATGGCTCTGGGACCTGTGTAGGCATGGGGTTGCAGCAGCTGGTGAGGGCACTGCAGTGCACAGACTGCATTGTATCTTCCTCTCCACCATCACTACATTCCTCTGCCCCCTATTAAAACCAGCTCTCCTTTACTGGTATCCTGTCAGTCAGGGCTAGCAGCGCTGCCAAAGTGATCCTGGCTCTGGTATTTAGTCCTGAAGGAATATGTGATACAGAAGCAACAGATTACTCCGGGCTTTGCGACTGCTCTGCCCTCCAAGAAACAGAACCAGCACACAGATTTGGAGGAGAGCTGACAGCAATATGTGAACATAACTGGATGTCTTAAACCACGCAGCATGTGGCAATCTGTTTGCTATGTTACCCAAGAATTAAAACGTTGGTAGGTTTTGACATTGTCTGGATATTGCAGGAATTTTTGTATTCCATTTGCGTATCATTTCTGCAACAGCCTTGAGGTCTGTCAGTGCTGTCAAGCTGTTTCTTTTTCTTCATCAGTCTCATGGGTTAGCCAAAACATCCTCATAATGTTCCTAAGCTCTTTACTGACGGAGCACCCAGACCCTAATTCTAACTGGGTAGTCTGTGTGACTGAAGAGAGTGATGGGAAAATCCACAGAGCCTGGAGCACTCAATCCAATAACCTGCTGATCTCAGCTGTGCCCCACTGGAGGGAAATGGCACAGCCTCACCTGGGAGATCCCAAGTCTACAGACTTGTTTCTAGTTTTTTTCTCTTCACTATCAGTCACAATGGTCCCAGTTCTTTCCAGCAGGGATGGAAGGTACAGCCCTTTCCCAGCAGAATTTGTGATTCAAGGTTAGGACATATGTTTTGTTTCCTGGAAAGGAGCACAACCGAAGCAGGCCTTCAGGAAAGGGTTGCACGTTGGACCTTGTGGGTATGCTCTGAGGGGAGCAGCCCCAAAAGACAGCACTGCAGAAAGCAGGGCAACGTGTACGCAGAAGCTGTCAAATGGAGACTTATAAACTGAAATGTTGGCAGGACAGATAGATAGGATTACGAAGAAGAGCCATCTGAAAGGGTGCATAGCTATGAAGAGCTTTTAATGTAGTGCTGATAAAAATCTTGATGAGAGGAGAGATGAGGGGACATGAAGAGATATAGATATGTCTTGCTGCTTGACTAGACTGTGTGATTTTTGCTTTCTGTGGATGGACTGCTTTCCATGTTGGGAGAGCTTTCAATACTTTGCTTTCTGTGGGTTGGAAAGAAACCATAGAAGGGTTTCAGGTTTTGACAGGTATCTGGATGCTTAGAGATGCAGGACAAAAAATGTCAGGGAAATTGCGAATATTGCTTTTGAAAATGCCACTAGTTACTGATTTTTGTGTTGTTTGCCTTTTAGATGCTTCTGAATATCTAGCCCTGTAATTTAGCTAAACTCAAACACCAGGTATCATTAATACAGGAGACCAGTGCTTTGAAGATGCTGCCCATACCCAGATGTTCAGTCTCCCCAGTTGTTGGGTTTTACTTGAGGTTTATGCTCAGCCTTTCTTCTCCAGCTTGGAGGCACAGTTCCCTGGTGAAAGGAAGTAACAGCATGTTTCTTCTCTGTCTTCTCACAGAAGTGGAAGATGAAAAGCAGTTTCATTCAACACTTTGTCAGCGGTCTCTGCCTGGAAAACCAGACTGGGAGAGTGGTGACCAACACTTGCCAAGCAGATGTACCTGGCCAACAGTGGGAGCTGCTACAAGCAACATGATGGTAGCACAGAGATCTCCTTGTTTCTTTGTGCATGAGACTTTGGGAACAGAGGGGGATCAGGAATGGAGGAATGGTTTTGTATGTCTGACCCTAAATGTCTTCATTGTGCCCATCTGCAAGCCACCATTTCAGCTGAGCACTTGGTGTTTTTGAGCTTTTCAGAGAAGAAGCTGGGGATGAGAGAGGGATGAGGAGAGTTGTTGAAATCTTCCCATCTGTTGTCTTAAGTTCTCCTTTGTAGCCGATGTCTGTACACAGCTGCACCTGGAGAGGGGGAAGGACCCAGCCCAATACTTGGAGTTACTAAACTGCTTGGCAGCTCTCCCCATCTGTTCCTTTCTCTGCATCCAGAGTCCACAGCCTTCAGTCCAACAGCTTAAATGGTGCTTATACAAACATTGGTAGCTCCTTGGCTTCCCTGACTTTTCGCTCTATCGTCGTGCATCATTTATGCATGTGTGTCTCTCGGTGAGGACTGGCCAGAAGAAGAGTCATCATGATGAGTGGAGGAGCTGGGAAGGAACTAGCAGACCCTGGGGGCAGGTTTGTAACCTCTTCGTGCTGGGCCTGTTCCTTCCTCTGCCCGCGGTAGCTGCCCTAGAACCAAGTGGGCTGAGGTTGGGAAATGGGGCACAATGCTTGACAAGAGAGCTGGAAAAGGGACAATCTGTTTTAGCAGCATAACCAGGGGTTGTTTTGGGGGACTATTCCCTGTTGAATTCTTGCTTCCAGTTCATTACGGGTGGAAAGCCAGCCCTGCCTCCACGAGTGATCCAAGCCTGCAGGCAGCCCAGCTGGACCTGTGTTCAGGGTACCACACTCCTGCGGAGCTGGTCAGAGACAGGTGCTGACACTTGGAGATGCCAGCAAGGCCAGGACTGTTCTCTGGTTGCTTTCCCTGGTGCTACCAGACACTGCGCGCGGCACCCCGCACCGAAGGTGATGCACGGAGCTGCATGGGCAGCCCATGCTGACGGTGCCCTTGCGCTTGGCTCCAGCCTGTGGCAGGGGGGCCGCCCCCGCCCCCCCG